AATAGAACAAAGTGTTCTTGCATTGAGGAAGTTCTTGAGTGGAGGTCCAATGTCCATCTGCTGCCTGAATACTAAAGCTATAACTATATGCCCGTAGATCTATTTCCCCATCACCATATATAAATATATTGACATATGTACATGCCTGCATTTAGACCTCTATAAATTCCCTTTGCCTCTTAGTTCATCCCTTTATTTCCTTTTACTTTCCTCTTGTCCCACTATCATGCTCAGCCTTCATTTGGGTTTCAGTAATTTCTCTTGGTTACATTGCCCTTGATCAACCCCTACCAGGCCTCTCACACCCTTCTTGCCACAAATTGTGGATCACTTGTTGCTCCCTTGTCCCTGGGTTGGTCAACACCACCTCCTTACCCCCATTTCCCCCTCTCCCATGCCCCTCTGGAGCCACCAGTCCTGTTGTTTTCTCCTCCAGACTGTTCATCCAGCCTATCTTGTCTAGATAGACCTGCAAAGATAATATACACAAAAACAAGGCATAGCAAGACAAAGTGATAAAAGAGCACAATGATGATGGCAACAAAGAAAACCAATGATCGAAAAAATAATAATAAGTAAATAAAATGAAAAAAGAGAAAGAAAAATCTGTAAATAGTTCAAGGTCTGTTTGTTGACCTCTAGGAGTGTCCTCCAGTCGAGTCCGATGGGGTGCCACCCTCTGGCTACAAAGTCTATCCTTTGCACTCCCTCGGGAGCTCCCAGCTCAGCTCCCCGGCTGCTCTGCCACACGCCCTTAGCGTTTTGCCTTGGTTTGGTGTAGTCAGACTCGGCCAATTCCGACACTGAGTCTCCAGTGTTGTCCCCCGTTGGGCCATGGGTCAGTGCGGGACTTCGTGTCTCGCAGTGGGATCAGCCATATGGTCCACTCTGCATTGCCTGTTCAGAGCAGGGAATCATCCTCTAGGCTTGGTGGGCCAGGATGCACTCTACTCTCTCTATCTCCCCCTTCATCTGCTCCCAACTGTCCTACTGCGAATGCAGCGATCTCAAGATTTAATAAGTTTCCCCCCAAAAAAGGTAGTATTAATGTTGACATTTAAGTTTTAACTTCCTTGTCTATCTCCTGGAAAGGCTAGAGCAAATTTAAATTTTGCGATAGTGTGATTTGAAAGTATTATCCAGATTATTTTAATTTTAAGAATGATTTCTGTATATAAATTTGCCGTTCTCGTTTGCCTAATGTTTTGTTTCGGTGTTTCTCCCCCCACCTCCACCCCCATAGGTATGAGGCTCTGTTCCCGTTAGTGTTGTCATGTTTAATGTTTGTCTGGATACACCTGGAGCAAGAAACATTACAACAATCTGGTATTTCCTGTAAACAGAAGGTAACTTTTCAAGATCGTTGTCAAGTTTACGAGGGAGTATTAGAGTAGTCTCCATCTGTAGGGAAGTTGCAGTGGCAGTGTGTAGGAAACATAGCTTATAATGATCCTGTGTGACAGTGGAATTGCCCCATAGGGTTTCCAAAGCTGTCTGCTCTCTGTACATGAGCAGATCACTAGCCTTCCGTGGCATGGGTGTGGGCACAATCTCCCTTTAACGCTGACTTTGCTTTTTTAGGGAATAAGATTGAATAGTGTAGCTACCTTGTTGGAACTGAGTAGCTTTCTATTTTTCCCACACACAAGAATATTTTGTTTATTTAAAATAATTTTTCTGCAACCAGAATTACAAGAAAAACCAAGAAATGGGCATTTAAAAGTTATCTTTTGCCATGCTTTGCAAAACACCTTAAGGAGTCCTGGTAGCACTATCGATTCAAACCCACCGGCCACTCCATAGGAGAAAGGTGAGGCTGTCTGCTCACATACAGGCCCAGGCCTTGGGCCCTCTGTAGGGGCGCTGAGTCAGAATCTGCACCATGGCAGCAGGTTTGTAATACCCTGCTCTGAGAAGACCCAGACACTGAGCCGCCCAACCGGCGAATCGAGGAGAGCTGTACAGGGAATTAAGGGCAAAGCCTTTAGGTATCACACACACGAAAGCCTCGTTTTTATTTTCATTACACATACAGAACTATCACAACAACTCTGACCGGTGCATTATTAGCCACATATTTTACTTTTTGGCAGATTTTATTTAAGTATAATTAAACTATAGGGAAAGATTTCTTGTTGATTTGTTTGTCAGCATGGGGCATCTTCCAGCCCTTATAACTTAGATTTCAAGTTTTCCCTTGGGTATAGAAGTAGTGAGTATATATATTTTTCTTATTACCCCACAGCTCACCACTATTGAATTTTCCTACAATATGGATATATCTCAGTTTCGGCAGCTCTATCTGGACGACCTCCGCAGGGCCTTTTTCTTAGTATCCTTCAAGGGACGCCCAGGTTGCTGCCGCCTTCCGTTTATTGGAGTAAGAAGATGTAGAAGGTGGTTTCGGCCCATTCATTGTCTCCACAGTAAAGCTTGAGGCTCTTGATGAATCTTCTACCTTTCGGTATTTGTTGTTTAATACTTTCTATATCCTTCTATAAATCCCAAGTTTTAATCACACTTATTTGCTATTCCTTGAGTATTCCATGTATTTTCCCACTGTTTCTTTACCTTAATCCCTGAGTCATCTCCTCCAGCATACTATCCTAATCTTATTCATATATGAACACTTTAAGACTTCTTTATTTACATTTATAGTTTTAGGGCCTAGTTCTGTCTCTGTAAATGTTGGTTGGTGAGTTGATTGGTTCAATGGCTGAATCCATGAATATTTTTAAGACTCAACTAATCAGCTGAAATATAATCATAAACATATATAAACATAGTCAGGTGTTATGATTCATGCTGCTCCTTCCAGCCCACTCTGTATGTGTACATATGATAACTAAGTGGTTAACGCACCTTGAACCCTTCCTGTGGCAGGCAATGTTCTGAGTACTCCCAGCAAATGGATAGCTGTACCTTTGGCTGCTGTACTAACATAAATCAATTTTTTTAAATGTTGAAAAGATGTGCAAACACTTTTTGTGCCATTTTCTATTGAACTGTTTTAAGACACGATCTTGTATTTCTCTGTGACACTTTCAAAGAGCTGGGTATGCAATGAGCATGTTGTGGGCACACCGGCAATTGACTACAAATACAGTGGTCTGACCCTGCATGTTAGAGAAAAGGCAGTCTCATTGTCCTTGTACTTAGCCTCTTCAACCAGGTTTCTTAAAAAACGCATTTATAAGGAGATGCAATATAACCTTCATTTAAAACTCTTTTCTGACCCAGTGTGGAGGTGAAAAAGCAAATTACCCTCATAAGAGAGCTGCTACATCCTTTTTCAATGGAAACACAGTTTGTTAAGAATGCTGGCGGATGTGAGGGCGATCTGGCTGCGACATCTGTCACCCCATTGATCGCCAGGGTTGATTCGGCTGATCTGGCTGGCTAGGCGGGTGTCCCCTTCCTCCCTCACCGCTCCATGTGCGTCCCTCCCGAAGCTGCGCGCTCAGTTGAAGAGGACGACCTTCCCCGATAGAAGGAAGACCGTCCTTCGGTCAAGGGTATATGAGTAGCTGCGCTCCCCTGCTAGAACCTCCAAACAAGTCTCAAGAATGCTGGCTTGGTGGATATTTCCTTAACGCGGTGTAGGTCTTCTTCCTAGTGACGGCGTTTTTTGGAACGGGAAACATAGCATCTATTAACAGGTAATTTTACCTACTAACATGAACACATCTACATAAAACCCAAACCACGCACGCTGGAATCTGTCCCTTCTGTGAGTGCCGTGCTCTCCGCTCCAAGTCACGTGGTCTGGAGAGGGCTGTGCATCAGCACGCGGACCTGCTTTCTGTCGAGTGGCTTCGTAGTATTCCTTGACACAATGGATGTCTGTATTTTCATAAGATTCTGTTTCGGAAATTTAGTTTGAAGCATCCTTTTGAGAGCAATGTGCTATTGAGTGCCAGTGCGGCTCTTAACGCCTTTTGTCGTCCCCCTGCCCTACTCTGCAGCTTTGACCTGACCTCCGTCTACTGCTTTCTGACCGTGTTCAGCCCTTTCATGATGGGAGCCCTGATGATGTGGAAGGTGCGTTTGCATGTCCTACTTTTACATAGAGAGTGCTTGATGACGAGCACGAGCTATCGTGCCGTTAAGATTAGGCCATGTGACAGTAGGGTCATGAAGATTATTGTGAGAGAAACAGCAGTGGGAAGAGGGGGAGTCTCAGACGTGGCCTTGATCCGGCTGCAGGACTGGAGGTGAGCCTCCCCAGCCCGCACCGACTTCCTCATGCTGCTGATCTCTCTGTTCCTCCTACTCCCATTTGGCTTCACGACAGTAAGGATTTCAGTTCCATGCTAGTCCCTGAAAGCCCTGTTATAAATGACTTATGCCTGTGGGGGAGCTGTCATCAAAATACCATGCCCTGAAAGAGTCTAAGGCTCCCTAAGTCCACATTCCCCACCCGTGACACGGAGACTGCCAACATGCTACTAGCTCACGGGCTTTTCTCATAACACACATGCTTAGAACAGATTCAGTTATTCAACAGATGTCCTTGAGGGCTGGTGTGCAGGAACGTGCCAGGCCCCACGCTGGCTGCTGAGGCTGCAGCGAAGGTCATGGCGCGCTCTCGGCTCTGCAGGATCCCACGTTCTCTCCTGGAGCAGCATTCACGTGCCTCCCCTGTGTCTTAGGGCTGCTCACCACACTCGTCTTCTTTCCTCCACCTACCTCATCCTCTCCACTGGAGTGCTTGGCACACTTTCTGTAGCTAGCACACATTGTTTACATAAAGTTACTAATCCCTGCCCCAAATATGATCACTCGCAACGAAGAAAAACAAACAAACACAAAAAAGGGTGCACTAGAAATACTGCCTTCAGGTCTATCCTGGCTCATGTGGTCCCTACTGCCCCATGGCTTTCCCAGGCTATCAGTCTTTAGAAGCAGACTGCTTCGTCTCCTGTAAGTGGCTTGCAGCAGGATCAAACCGCCGACATGCTAGTGAGCAGACTACCTCACCACGCCACTAAGTGTCCTTTGCTTTTTATAGCATGCAGGTGTGATCGTTCAAGATTATGTTTCTCTTGATTATTATCAGTATCTACTTTTTGTTACCATTCTAATAGAAATGCAAGCTTAAGAGATATTTAAATAGACATTTAACACTCTGCCTTTAATTTTTATTCACTATCTTTTAAATGGTCGGGTTTTTTTTTTCTCAATTTATTAGACAATCAGCCTTTCATTAAAAACCAGAGGGAAAAAACGAAACAAAAAATTGCTTAGAGAGCTGGATTTCTCATGTCCAGCACGATTGCACGCGCTTCAAGGGGGAAGGCCCTTGCTGACTTGTGCTGACCGCTGTGGCCGGGAGGGGAGGCTCTGCTGAACTTGCTTGTAGTCTTGTGTTTCCAATGTGGAAAGAGTTTGAGTGCCACCATAAGCACCAGCCATTTCCCATGTTTCCCTCCCCGCTCTTGAACTATCAAGTATGTATTTTCAAGGTATTGATCATTGGCGAAGTATCTCAAAATATTAATAATGTTGTTTCTGAATTATGGATTTTCAAGCAGTTTAAATTTTAATAGATCTTTTCTCAAAATTTTACAATGGGTCTAAATTTTATAATCAGAAATAAAGTACTGTTGAGAAGCCCAAGAAGCAATATAAAGCAGTTGGATCATCATCATCATCATCTCAGATAGCTGAGGAGAAAAGAGCCTGCGATTCGCTCCCTCCCAGAGAGCAGCCAAGGCAGTGCTCTGAGGTGCTCTGCTGCGTCGCGGGGAGCCCTGTACATCGAGATCGTCTCCTGGCTCACAGGATGAAGGATCAATGACCTGATGGGTTCAGGGATCGATGACCCAGATTGTCAGGCTGCATTACTTGTTTGATCTGGGTATTCTCGTCCTTTGTACCATCCGGGAATCATTTTAACAGTGTCATTCATTATTAGAATGAGTTGGAGAAAAAAAAAAGGAACCAAATTTTATGATAGGCTTTTGTTTAGAATAAGGATGGGAATTTATTGTTTTATATTGCATGCATATCAATGTAGGTTTTATTAGCTTCATTACTATTCTGTATATCATTTCTTCACGCTTTTATTTCATCCAGTGCTTGCTCTTTACGAATACATACACATATGTGTGTGCATGCTTATTTGAGAAGTTGAAGTATCGCTGTGAGCAAAAATGACGTTGTTTTACATGCTTCGTTTGCTCATTTGCCATTCTTTTGAACAGATTTTCATCCCCTTTGTCCTTGTGATGTGCGCCTTTGAAGCGGTTCAGCTGACCACCCAGCTGCCATCTAAAAGGTGAGGGGAGTGTTCAAGGACACAGTGCATCCAGGTTTCGGAAATGAGGGCACATTTTTGAGGGCATTTCCTGTGACTGTAGCTAGTTCACGATAATATTCATTGTTTATGACAAAAGTCAGAAAAAATGTTACACTCTTAACCAGAGTTCAGCTGCCATTAGAGGGAAGTAGCTGCTTAGGGCCTCTAGCAGACTAATATGCTTTCCCAACAATAAGCGATTATGACAGCGTTGTTCAAGATAGCAAAGGAGCCTCTCTGAAAAAACCGTGAAATACAAAAGGAAAAATCATGGTGGTGAAGGGCTTGTTTGTTGTAGATGAGATCAGGCTGACCAAAAATAAGAGTCCCACGCTGACTCATCTTGACTTATTTCTTCAATGTGTTGTGTTAGTCTGGGTAGACTAGAGAAATAAATCCATGGACACACATATGTGTAAGAAAGAGATTTATATACAAGAGCAGTTGAACATTGAGAAAACATCAGCCCAGTCCAGATCAAGTCCGTAAGTCTGATATTAGCCCATATGTCTGGTACCAATCTATAAAGTCCTCTTCAGACTCACGAAACACATACAATGACACAGAATGTAGAAGATCACACAGGCCAGTGGGTAGAAAGTCTTTGGATCCAGTGGCATTAGAAACATCTCAGCACTGGCAGGGGTCTCTGCATCAGGGTGGGTCCAGGTGTCTTGTCAGTTGCTATGTCTCCCAGGGTGTGAGCAGAGTCTCCCACCTCCAAGGAGTAAGTACTGGATTTCCCAGAATTCTCAGGAGAAGGCCATGCCCACACAGAAGTTTCATTGCGTATGATGTGATTGACAAGCTGGACTGCACCCCTACCCACTTAATCCTCAAATTGACAAACAATTATATGTTTACCACATGTGTCTAGTATTAGACTATGTTACTATTTTTTCATACTACATAGCTTCAGATGAACTAATTTGCATAGTCTCTCAGTCTTGCTTTCTACACCCTTAACAAAGGAGGGTGGAAGTCTCCTTTCTGAGTTTCAGCCATTGCTGGAGCATTCAGTCTTAAGCAATCAAGACCTTTCAGGAGAAGCTGTCAACTCAACTCTTTGCTTCTTTTAACCAATGACATTGCCTCCTCAGCACAGACCCAGCCAGCGTCCCTGGAAGACACTTCCACAAATAGGAAGCTGCTTAGCAGTTCCGTTGTTTTTGAAACAAACCAGCGTATTCAGTGCAGAAAGAAATAACTGAATCCAGCGTAAACTTGCCTGTTCTTCGATGAGTGCAAGCTGGAACTGTGTTTAGCATATGATTATGCACATGGCACAATTTATTTTAAATGTTTCCTTCCACTGTTTAGGATGAGTAGAAATCTCAGACCCATTTTCCTTTAGAGCAGTGGTTTTCAACCTTTCTAAAGCCGTGACCCTTTGATACAGTTCCTCATGTTGTGGTGACCCCCCCAACCATAAAATTATTTTCGTTGCTACTTCATAGCTGTCATTTTGCTACTGTTATAACTGGGGCGACCACAGGTTGAGAACAGCTGCTTTAGAGCATGTTTGCAGGTTATCTGTATGAATCTGACATTGACAGCATTTAGATCCTGCCCATGTCACATAACAGAGAGCATTTCTTCCCCTCAGGTACCGTAAAAACTGGTGCTGTGAGTTGCCATTGCCCATTCTAATGCACAGTGACTCGTGCGTTACAGAGAGCACTGCTCCATGGGGTTTTCTTGGCAGTAATCTTTACGGAAGCAGATGGCCAGCCTTTTCAGTGAGCAGCAGACTTGTAGGAAGTAACGCTGGAGCAGTAGGCAGGGTCAGCACACATGGAGTGGGTTCTCATCATGGAGATGGTAAGCTAGGGCTGGACACAGCGCCTTGATCGGGAATGTTCAGTGGGAGTTCCCCCTGTGAGTACACGGCCTTCAGGAGGATCACTGCATTCTCTCCAACCTGTAGTTGGACAGTCCCGTCTCAAAGCAAGTCAGAGACAGCCACAGAAATTTCATACCTTCACCTTTTAAAAAGTCATCGCAAATGGATCATAGACCTAAGACTTGCAGAGCAAAGTTCTGGGATTTAGGGCCAGGCAGACAGTTAAACATGATGTACAAACCAAGAGCCATAGAAGGAAAAACTATTAGAGGGTGGTCGCCATGGAGGCTGGTGGGTGGAGGGTGCCTGTGGTCGTAATAGGGCCTCCTGAGGGAGCCCGGTGGTGATAGGGATGCTGTGTCGCTGTCACTGGCTACAGCTGGCCATGGTGTTTCTTGTGTTTGACAAGATGGTAGGGTGCCATTGGAGAAACGGTGCAGGCTGTGTGGCGTCCCTCTATATTATTGCTTATAACTTTATGCAAGTACAATATAATCTTAAATTTTAAAATGTAGTTAAGAAGTCATAACCCATGGCCATTTTCTGCTCCTGGAGAAAGTATCCAATAGTATTTTTGAAGCCAGGCTCTTCACGGTAGGGAAGTCACCAAGGGTAATTGTGAAATCTGCCCCACGGACCGTCGCCGTTTCAGAAGCAAACTGTTAAGAAATACAGGCTTATTTGATGGTTTTCACTTGCCTTTAATGTGCTTGGGGGAAAAGTGCCACTTGTGTTATACCTAATTGTAAAACTGTTTTGCTTCTTTTCAGCCTGTTCCTCATTGTTCTCGTTATCTCGGACATCATGGCTCTGGTAAGGCTTCATTGGATAGTCGGTGTAAATAAGATCAGGAAACTAAGCACTGAGCTAATTTAATCAAGAGAAGTATGACTATATTTTTAAACCTGAAATCTTTAGATAATCGAGTTATAAGGGTTGGCATGATGGACACATACGGATGCCTTCTCTTTTATATGACGTAACCAGCAGCGAGTGCTCTTCTTAAGGTGTCAGAAATCTTATCACTCGGTTTGTCCTAATCCATCCTTTTCTCACTAGTGTTCCCTGTTAGGTTGTTTGTGGAATGAACTTTCCATAGGACATTAATAGAGAAAGTGTAGCTTCAGGCAGTCATCATTTTCCTGCTTGAAATGTTTATTTTTAAATGCTTTCAGATTCAAAAGGAAGTAAAAAGGAGCGAAGGGAAGGAGCAGACAGACTGAACCAAAGTTCCTTCTAATTCATGGAACCCTGTTTTGCTTTGTTTCACAGCACTTTTTCTTCTTGGTCAAGGATCATGGCAGCTGGCTCGACATTGGGACAAGGTATTGTACAAATTCACAGACACTCCTCAGGGGCAGGGAGAAGTCACGTGGTGTTTCCCCACACCAGGAAGAACCCCAAGGAAGGGGGGTGAAAGGGGAGCCCATCACAAGATTGGATATAGAGCCCACCCCCAGGGGGACCGAAAACAGAAATGTGGGTGAAGGGAAGCAACGGACAGTGTAAGACATGAAATAACAATAGTGAAATATAATTGATCAAGGATTCAGGAGGGTGGGAGGGAGAGGAGGGAGGAGGGCTCAGGTAGAAAGAAAATGTTTTGGAAATGTTGATGGCAACATATGTACAGGTGTGCTTAATACAATTGAATGATGGATTGTCATAAGATTTGTAAGAGTCCCTCATTAAAATGATGATATAAAAAAAATGAAGCTGAGGTGACGTGGAGGGAGGCGGAGTAGGGAGCAATCCTTGTAAGCCTCTGAAGGAGACTTGCTGTCTCCTCGGTCCTCCATCCCCTGTCAGCATTATCTGCCCTTTAACTCTGTCAGATGTTTACCATGTAACATCTTACCATGTAACGCCGTCTTATTTGAATTGTCCTGGAACCTGAAGTCACCATTTTCTCTTTCTTGCGCTTTGACTGCCAGTGCCAACAGATTACCATAACCTCCTCTGCTTATTTTCTTTGAGAAGAAAGCAGGTAGATTTAATCATTTGTGTCTTGCTTTCAAAGACAGGCCTGTTTCATGAGCTGCCAGTCACTCCTCACTGCGTGGCTGGGAGTAGTAGTGAGGGCTGGGGAGACGCTGCATGGTAGACCATCTCTCTGCTGCACCTTGCTGCTCACCACTGGTCAGCTGTGCGCGTGGCTGCCTCCCCAGCACCCCTGGGTCCAACTCTAGTCTTTTGCCTTCCCTACCTGCTGGGCACCTCACTCTGCACCTCCCTCTTCTGGGTTTGATTTCTTTGTCTCTTATCTTGGAAAGCCCAGAGGAAGTGTGGCGGTCTCCTTAGCAGGCAGTCATCCCTACAGGGCCCAGTCAGATGGTGGGTCAGAGTGCGGGCTTCATGCCAGACCGCCCGTGTCTGACCTGGGCTCTGCCACTTTCAGGCTGTGCGACACGGGCAGCCGGTGCAGTCTGTGGAACCTCCGCTGCCTGTGGGGGGTGGCTGGTGGGAAGCCATTCGTGTACAGCTTCGGCCTGGGCCCAGCATCTCAGAAGTACTCAGGCAATGCCAGCCACTGCCTTAGGTCACCCTGTCACCCACTGACTTTGTTATCCTTCGTGGTGTTTCCCGGGTTGGATACCTGTCTCTATGTGCCGACTGGCTCATCTCCATTTTCGCCGTAACGTCGGAATGTGGTTTGGAGAATGTGTCAGTTAAAACAGGCCGACTTCCTGTGTGAGACATTTTTTGATGGCAGAAATCGATTTGGGTTTTGACACAGAAGAGGTGCCAAGAAATCGAGAGGACATAGCTTTCACGTGCAAAGGTACCACATTACTTTATGCACCATGTCATTCATTTCTAGTGCACTCTTAGAATTTCAAGTTTTCTCTGATTGTCTTGAGGTTTATCTTTACCTGGTGATTTTTCTTCAAAGTGCACATTTTTGCTGTCACTACTGCAAACGTATACAAAGCACCTTTTCATGCAGGCGATCACAGTTATGCTCAGCAGGTATTTTTGAGCACCAGGTGTGTACCACAGAGTCCTAGGCCCGCTAGGACTGGAAAGCCGGGGTAGGAATCAGATTCCAGAGCATGCCCTGTGTACGGGCCGTCGAGGTGCTAGACTACCTTGAGGTTGCTGGGAGGCCTAGTCAGAGCACCTGCAGAGGACGGGCAGGGTGCTGGGGAGGGGCTGGCCAAGCACCCCGGGTCTGGACTTGAGAAAACATGTTGGGTCACAAGAAGGTGTAGCGTGAGAAAAGGTGACCCCCGCCTCGTTGAGACTGACGGAAGTAGCCAGCAAGTCAGGAGATAAAGCAAAGCAAACAAAGAAGCAGGAGCAGCAGCAAACCACAAGCCCTTGCCTTGGAGTCGGTTCCCACTCGCAGCAGCATGGGGGCAGCCGCAGTGCTGCGGGTTGAACCTTAAGAACAGACAGCCTGCGCTATCTTTCTGTCACCGATTTTGTACGTTCAAGCCACTGACCTTTCTGTTAGCAGCCGAGTGCTTAAACTCTGCGCCACCAGACTTCCTAGGAGCTCAAAGGAGCATTTGGGGAAGGAGGGGCCGTACTGTCTGAGGTGCTGCAGAGGTTGTAGAAGATGTCCAGGGGCCTGGGGCTGAACAGCAGTCAGTACTGGCGCTGTGTTTAAAGGCGGGCCGCAGGTGCATCCTGCTGCACATTCACTGAAGGCCTTTTACTTGAGCCAGAGAGTGGATGGATTCAAGTAACTCGTGAGGGAGCAGGAGACCCCTCCGCAGAAAGCCCCTCCACTGGGGCACCGCCTTCGTGTGCCTGGGTCACCATCTGCGCTTCCCAGCCGGGACCCAAGAGGAAGAGCTTTCTGTTCAGCAGCCGTGCCCTTGGAGTCATGGCTCTTCCCTCCCCCTGACTTGTTGGGTCTCTAGCCGCCCTCCCTGTCTCTTCATGCCTCCTGTCCCTTATCCAGTTCTCCCAGTCGAAGACTCCATGACCGTGATGAGAGCAAATATAATTATTTTCGTTTTCCAGAAGAGCCTAAGAATACACAATCACGTGGCATAGCTGGATTTCTTTCTTTCTTTTTATATGTGCATCTTCTATGTAACTCGTGTCCTCAGGGGAGACCATACCTGCTGAGCAATTGCCACGCACGCGAGTCGCTAGGCTTTGTGAAGCACTCCGGATGAATGGAATTGCTGCCTCAGAATTCATGCTGCTTCATCTCTGCAGATGGCTGCTCCGTCAGGGAAGATTCCAAGGTCAAACTTGTCAAGGACATGCCAGCCAGCAGCTGTGGCCCCTGTGTTCAGATGGGAGAAACCCATCTATCATAGGATGGAACCATATGAGTAATAAATCCTGGAGGCCGGTGTCTCCCCAGGCCTCAGTGACTGAGGGCACCATGTACAAACTGTGACACTGATCTGGTTCTTGCATGAAGGGTAGAATTCCATCTAGGGGACTTGGTTTGTGGCGAGTATTTCAGGGAAAGGGGACGGACATTAACAAAGCGGTGGACACAAGAACGCCCGGTGAGTGTACATGGAGTGTGATGAATAATGCAGATCTCAGAAGCCATAGATCTGAGATAAATGTCTGGAGAGTGGTTTTTGGTCCCCCCTGGGAGTGCTTCGCAATGCCAAAGAATGCCTTGTGCACGGTGAGCACTCAGTATATCTAATTCTGGGCCCTGAAAAAAAATCACACAATTAGATTTGCGGAGAACTGCTTATGCCCATTGTTGGTGTGACCGTTGTCTCTTTGATTTGGACAAGCAGAGTGGACAGCAGAGTGATGGAGTCACCCTGCTTTTAGCTTCCACATTGACCACCGATTGCCGTTTTCACAGGGCGAGGGAGGCAGCGGGGTGAGGGCTGAGTGGGCACCTGCCTAGAAGTGGAGGTGGTCACTGGATCAGCCCTGTCAGGCCGTCCTTGTGTGCTCCTGGATCAGACCTCGGCAACCCGTCTCCATCGCTCCATCACCTGAGCTCATGATGTGCCTCCAGGCAAAGTGTTTTCCTGTTTCTTTCAAGGTCAGTCCTGCCCGGCCACAGTGAGGCTGAAGATGCCCTTGACGATGCTGTAGGACTTTGCACCAAGCCCAGATTGCCAGCGTTGACCCTCTTTTTCCTTGAGCGTTTTTAAAGGATGCTTTGAGTTGCCGTAAAACTTGCAGGCAGCATCTAGCATGCCATCCTTGGCACTCTGTGGCGGCACCTCCAGCCCTGTTCCTCGCCTGCCTTTCCGCGCCATCGAGGGAATGCAGTGTTCTCCAGGCACAGCGTCACAGCATCATATAGCACAGCATCATAGAGAGGTGCTGAGGATGGTGCACGTGGGGCATCATTCAAAAGGAAGCAAACAGAATGGTGAATGAGCGCTGACTGACTGAACACTGATACTCCTACTCTGCAGTCCTCCCGGCTAGACAAGTGTGCAGATGCCATGACTCAGTTCTGTACTTAAGTTCGTAGATTAGAATGTTCCACACTGAATGTTAAATAGGAGAAATGAAATCCAGGAGCAGCAGTGTCTTTTTCCCTGTTGTACATAGAGTTACTACGGCATAGTAAGACCTGCTCTTAGGCACCTAACATCAACAAAAACCAAATAGACTGTGAATATATTTTGTGGTAATGGTAACTTTTTTTTATAATGGGAGCTGCTATATACATCCATTGACCATAATGCTCTGATTCACTTGGGGCACTATGCCTGTCAGTTCCATGTATACAACATTAAAAATCTGAAGCAGATGGGCAGATGATAAAGACATAATCAGTTAATAAGGCATGTCAGTCTCGATGCTTCATCAGGGATCTGGCGCCCAAAGGTGAAATGGGGTGCTTGCTTGCAGAGATTCCTAACCCTTAATCCCACTGCTCGCTGAGTTGATTCCAACTCATAGCCACCCTATGTCAACCTGTCGGAGGCTGGCATGTTAGTGGGATAATAGTGGCCCACAGAGCCTTGTTCTAGTCATCAGACTGGCAGCAAGGGGACATCTTGCATACGTTGCCCACATAACCTGGTTATTCCTGCTGAAGCCTCCTTTCTCTGGTTGCTGTCTCGGTCTATTGCTCTGTCATCCCCAAAGGTCCCCCTTAAGAAAGGAAGATGGTTGCGGAGGAGGGCTGAGTCAGTGGCGGTGGGCAGTGAATACAGAAACAAGAAGGTATCTGAGGCAAATCCGGCTCTCTAAATCAGTTGCTCATGATGGTGGCTGCACTGTGTGGTTTTGTTGGTAGCGCTGTTGTGGCCCTTCAGTGCTGGTGAGTCGGAGCAAGAAAGTGCACAGCCCTGCACCGTCCTCACACTGGTCATGCTGGGGCCCATGGCTGCAGCCAAGGATCGGCCCATCTTGTGAAAGATTGATCATG